GTGTTTAAGTAAGTACCTTTACAACTGCCAAAAGTCCAACTGGCTACCCTAATAACAGCATTGAGTAAACCTGATACGAGATTAGTAATAGTTTGAGGATCCTAAATTCCTTATGTTAGCGATCCCTATCCATTTGTTCCATCATTTTGCTCTATATTTATGGATTACCCACTGTTGCTGGGCTATGCTGAATGCGAGTGATATACCTATGATTAAAACTGATGAGGTCCCTGGAGCATGACTTCTTCTGGACAGAGTCACCAGCAACATTAAAGTAAGTTAAGAAAGTCTGTCAGAGAGTGCATTAAGTACAGCAGTCCCCTCTGGCTGTGGTTTTTGTTTTCCTGCAGTTTCGCTTACCCACAGTCAATCATTGCCTGAAAATATTAGTGGAAAATTCTGGAAATAAACAATACATAAGCTCTAAGTAACATGTTTCATAGTTTATTATATTTTAATATTACTTATTGCTGTTAATCTTTTGTTGTGCCTAATTTATAAATTAAACTTCACTGTAGGTATGTACGTATATATGTATGCATGTATGTATGTATGTATAAAACCTAACATAGTATATAAGGATTTAGTACTATCTGCTGTTTTAGTCAGGCACAGAGTATCTTGGAAAACATTTCTTGTGAACAGGATGGGATTACTGTACTACAGACAAAATAAACAGGATGATATGACTTATCTGAGTGTTAGGGAGGTGCTAATTTCCATGGAGCTCAAGGAGCACCACCATTAATGGGTGGCTTTTGATCTGCAACCTGGACATACATAACCAAGGGACAAGAATTTCTAGGCAAAAGATAGTGCAAAGGCCCTGTGGTAGCAACACTGGTTTGTTTGATGAATAGAAATAAAGCACAGTAAAGCTGAAAAGCAGTGTAGTTTAAGAAGGATGATACAGACAGGGTGGTGCTTATTGCAGAAGACACACCATGGCTAAAAGGCATAGCAAGAAATTTGACTTATTCTAAGAGTAATGGGAAGCTACGAAAGGGTGCAAGTTATATTTAACGATAATGACTTTGGCTCTTGGTGGGTGAAGAGTGTGATTGTGTGTGTGTGTGTGTGTGTGTGTGTGTGTGTGTGCATTAATGTGTGCTGCACGGAGGGTGTCAAGAGAAGAAGCAAGATCAAGTGGGGACTGCTGACCTGCACAGGTCCAGGCTGGAAAGGTGGCAGAAATCATATAGCTCTCACGAAGGTGGAGGAAGGGAAGCACATGAAAGACAGACCGGAGGTGGAGCTGACACGCACCAGAATGGAAGAGAGCGGGGCAAAGCGGGACTACGAGCCCACATCTGTATCAGACATCACTGGGAAGGCCTGTGAGCCGTCTCCATGCAGAGGCCAAGCAGCCAGACGGAGAGAGGTGTTTGGACTCCAGGGGAGAGGTCTTAGCTAGAAAAACAAATTTGGGATTCAATATTCTGCCCAATTCCTGGCAGAACACTCAGGCACACATTTGGTAATTAATAAATGCTTATGGAGTGACTGATTGATAATTGACAGAAAGGGCAAGTGAGAATTTTGCATCCTGGAAGATGTTTTGAATCTCTTGGCAAGAAGCATTCAGGATACGGCTGCAGAGTGCCAGGTGCTGCTGTGGCTCGATAAATATTAATTTACGAAGATGAATCTCAAGAAGCAGTGAGCTGTTATTACAGCAGCTGACCTGCCTGGCCTACATGGCGCCAGGGCCATCCTTCAGCTGCTTGCACCTTCTGTCCCTCATCCGCAGAGTCTTTTCTTCTGGTGGTATAACTTCTGACCCGGGCATCTTGCGTTGTTCTTCATCACTGCCACTTTGCCCTCACATCAGGGCATCCTGCTGACTGTCCCCAGTGACTGTCTCTGAGCCTGTCTTGTAAAGGTTTCTGAATCATGCATGTTAAATAGCTATTATGTGCCAGGCACCACAGTAGACATTTGGCAGGTAGCAACCCTGCAAGAAGATGTCTAGCCTTAGGTTTGGCTTTCATCTGCATGGGGGTGTAAGCGGTTGGCTCTGGGTCAGATAAGCACTGGCAGAACAAGAAGTCAAGACGGATCCAACTTGACTGAGCAGCTAAACTCCCTGCATTCTAGGACTTGCCAGATTGTTGGATTTTGCCTGCAGAATCTGTCTGTATCCTGTGTCACCCAGCTCCCAGTAGAGTCCATCCTGAAGCTGGTGGGTGTTCGTGCGATCAGTTACACAGTCAGGTTGGCCTGAGGCTTTACCCTGTAGTGACAGCGTTTCCTATCTCTGCAGTGCAGACTTCATTTGGTACTCTACTGGGGGTACTGATTCTGTGAACTTGAGGATCTTGGGAGAAGTCTGTAGCCCAGGAAGGCAGTCTCTGCGGTAATCAGAGAAAAACAGAGAATGGAGATGCTACAGCCCCCAGGCAGGATCAGTAAAGAAGGAGTGGAGAATATGGGCTGGGGACTATGGAGAAAGACAGCAGAATTGTGTGCAAAAGGAAGATGTGCACTCTTCCTAGCTGGGTAAGAAGAGAGACGAACTAGAAATATACATCTAAAAATCATAACTCATTGTTCCAACAAAGAAAGCCACTATGCCTTTGTGTAAATGTGTTCACCAAGCATCGATCTCGCTGGGCACATACTCTAATGAGAGGCTGCCTGTCCCATTAGGCACAAATCCCCAACTAGGCAGAGACATTTGACTAAACACCACCCACGACAGAAGCAACAGTTTGCCCTGTATCTAAGACCTAGGCAGCGCCTCAACTCACAGGAGGCCAGGTCCTGGGAGGCCCAGTGGTTTGAGCAGGAATTAGTCGCAGTGACCATCTCACCAGAGAACAATATGAATCATGGCCTGGCTGGCAGCTGGCGCTCATCTGGCTGCACCTGTTCCTCCAGCAAACTCGTCCCTTTATCAGCTAACACCTGCCTGGTGGGCTGGGCCTCGTGCTGGCTGCTAAGGACACAGAGCTGATGAAGATTCATACCAGGCTCCATGGCAGAAATGGGACATGAGATTTCTAGAGGCCAGCTACCTATGGATCAAGCATCAACCAGGCCTCATTTATCAATGGGTCACACTGGTACATGTGGAAAGGTTAAAAGCTTGGTTTAGAAGACAGACAATAGGGGAAGAAAAGCTACATATGTCCCATAACCTTTAAATTACAGCAGATGGTGATGGCTGGGTGGCATTAAATAGATACATGGTGCACCCTCCATCCACTGAAAGCCTGGGAAACTTTGCTGAAACACTAAGAAGGATTTCTTTGAAGACCACCTGAATCCATCCATCTCCTCTGCTCACAGTCCGCCTGCCTCCAAGGATAATTGACACGGTTGGGAGGATTCTGAGAAACAAAGAGCCTCTCTCTCCCCTCCTCTCTCTCTCTTTCCTCCTCTTCCTCCTTTTCCACCTCCTCCTCCCTCCCACTCCCTCCTCCTTCCCTCCTCCCATACCCACTTGGAGGTAAAACGTTAAATATATATTTGGTTACATCATAATTCTGTTCTCTTTCATTATGAGCACTTGAAATGCCAATAGCCAAGTTCTTTGTTGTATTTCCAACACCTCCTACACAAAAGCTGAAACGACGCAGGCTCTCCACTTGTATTTGTTGAATACATGAATGAATAAATTAGTATTTTCCAATCCCTAGGGTTTCAAACATTGGTGCTCAGTCTTGCCTAGTGAATTCTTGTTAATAACCCTAGATAGAGGTCTTAGTTATATGCCAATCTTACAAATATTCTTTTCCTTGAGATATTTAAGCCCTCTACACCACTGCACATGGTTATACTTTTTCTGATGGAGAAATGCTGAATGAAACAATGAATGAGTAGAAGAATTTTGAGTAAGTTGATTCATAGTTCTTATCAAAAAATCATTATTTACATTTCATTTATGTTTATATATTTATCCTACCTTTCCTTATTTGAATATTATTAAGTATCCAAGAGACTGCAGAGTTAGTGATACAAGGTGAGATACTAAATAAATTGGAACTCACTCTGGATTTTTTTCTTCATCAGCAGCAATATTCCTGGTATGAAAAATCTAGTTTACCCTGCATTAAACACAAGATTGCTTGACGAATTGAGCCACTTTCCACAGAAGAAAAATGTGATGTAGAAGAAAAGTATTGAACTGTGGTAAGTTAGCTCTGGATAGTTACCTAAGTCTTTGAAACAGGTTTAAAACCAGACCCAGAAAGTACTGAAGTTCAAGGCTTGATCTCAAGAGTGTTGGAACTGAGACCTTCGCCTGGACAGTGCATACATGCTACTTTAAAGGCGCTCTGCTACTCTATATTTAATCAAAGTAATAACAAAATAAGCAAGGGCTTGTGGGTCTTTGGTTTGAAGGATATGGGTGTGGTCATTAAAAGATCTGGTCAGGATAAAAACAGAAAAGTCGAATCAGTCCTGCCTTTCAAATCTTGCTGGTATTCCAGGGGGCTAGAAAAGCATGGGTGAAGGGAGGGTAGGGAAATGTCTAGGGGCTGGTCAGGATTGTTTACAAGCTGATACGTTTGTAAGTTCTCCCTAAACTTAGAAACACTTTTCACATAAAGATATTTTGTTTTAAAAGGTTATGTAAATATGACAAAGCATAAAGATTTGCTAAACATGGGTATTAAACCTGAATACTTTTTATTCTCTCTGCTGAAAATATTTCACAATTTAAAACTAATAAAAGAATGAAAACAATGGTAATAAAAAAAAATACCCAGCCAGAATATACATTTTAGGGAATTTGCAAAGAATGTCTAATTTCTTCTGCACTGGTTAAAAATGTGAGGCTTCTGATTCTAAATTAGTTTGTAAATACTTTTAAAATAACATTAAAATCAATTTTAGAATATAGATTGTTAAGATGTTAAATTCGGTGACACTCTAACAAATGTTAATAGAAGAAATCAACTCCCAAGAAACCTGAAATTCCCCAGACATAAATATATAGTGGTGACAAATTCATCATCTTTAACAAGGTGTACTAGAAATAACTGAGCACTGACCTCCCGAGGACAGATGATCCTCTTGGGACGAGGTGCCTCTTGCTGTAACTGATACACTGCCAAAAAAAAAGAAAGAAAAAAAAAAAAGAAAAGAAAGATAATTATAATTAGAAAAGTGCAACATATACCAACCTGCCTTCAAATATTCCCACTTACGTTCATCTACAGAACTTGGACCTGCAGATATGAAAAACAAAGAAGATACAGGCACATTTGTCAGACTGAGTTAAGTCAGATCATTTATATGGAAATTACTCACCATGAACATAAACTGGCAAAATTGATTTTTTTTCATTCTTCTAAGGCCAATTGAGTTTTGTAATTGTTACTGGCATTGTTATTTTATGGCTTTCTTGGAAGATGAGATACAACTAAAATTCTTTTGACTGTTTTAGAGAGGAAATTCTACTTGTGAGTACCTGAATAGTAAGATCATATAACAGGATTCCTGAATTTAAATGCCCATGTCTCGACATAGCAGGAAAAGACCTGGCATTAGGAGTGTCATTCTCTGAAATGTTACAGTTATGTACAAAGACAGTTGATTTTGTGAACGAATGAAACACCAAGACATCCCCCCCACCCTGTCTCTCCCTCCCCTCTCTCCATTTTTGTTCCACTTATCACTGAATGTTTGTGTATTTGAAACTGTTCCATTTATTGTCCTTTTTATTGGGCCCTTTCAAATCTTAAATAATAACAGCTCTCTTTTAACTTGTTTTAATGACCAACTTTCAGGCTTGGGCCTGGAGGGAAGCAAGTAATTATTTTTGCATACTATACAATTAATTTATCAGACTTTTGCTCGTGATTATTCAGACTACAAGTGATTTTTCTGCTGCTCAGTTAATACACTCTTTCTCTCACACACACACGTGCATGCTCTTGCACACCCCCTATGCACACACACTAGAGGATGGATCCCAAGACTTTGTGGATGCCTAAGCAAGTGCTCTATCACTGAGCTGCACACCCAGCCCTGATTATTTCTTATAGAGGAAAAAGCTATCCTCTGCCAGTACCTTTGGATACTGTTTCAGTGAAAACAGGCTGAAAACAAACCAAGCTGATCCTGAAAAGGGAAGAATTAATTTTACATAAAATAAATCTACTAAAAGTTAAAAATCAGATCATATAAAGTCCTTCTAGAAACTGTAAGAAGCTCAGCACAAATTTATGATTTATTCTTTGACCTAAAAATAAAAAAAGAATTTTAATGGAAGAGCAGTCATATGGAAATAGATAAGAAAATACAGGTTATAATTATGGCCATATTATAATTATGGCTCCCTGATGACTTCAACTCCACATAGCTGTTTTCTTCCTAATTAAGTGTAGGGTACTGGGCCTTGGCACAGAGGAGAAACTATCCAACCCTCTTATAGCTGCAGTGGGCCACATCTCATCGGTGTAGGCTGCCCACACTACTGATACCCACATATAAAAGGAAATCAGGGTTCAACACAGGCTTTGGCTCAGAAAGATGTCAAAAATGACAGAAAAGAAGGGGCCTTGACCTCCCAGCTTTCTTGGAGAAAGAACCTAAAGGTCCTAGTGAACCAATGCATGACAAGAGGGGCTGGCTGGCAGGAAGATGGGTCGCTTGCACACCAATGGTCACCAGTGGGCACACACGCTTCAGCTTGTGCCCATACTTCCCTTGGCTTCCTCAGCACCATGCATCCTGGTTTTCCTGCTATTCTGGTTTTTCTTTCCCCATGTGTGTTTCTGACTTCCCACTCTGCCTGCCCACTGGTCATAGGAGATTCCCAAGGTACATCACAGAGCCTGCTCAGGTCTCGTTCCTCCTCCTCAGGACTTGGCTCTAGCACTAAAATGTCGTGAATCATCTCCATGCAGAAAGGTTTCCAGCTCTGCTCAGGTCCCTCCTACTGCAGATTTTTCCTGAGTTTCTCAAAGGCAGCTCAAATGCAACACGCTGAAAGTTAAATTCGGGGTCTTTCCCTTTCACTGTAGGCCTTTTTTCCTGATCTCCACCAAGGAGCCACCACCCATGATTTCCCCAGCCAACACACTAGAACACATCCACAACATCTCGAGTGGTCAGCTGAGCACCAGGCCTGTCAATCTGCTTTTTCTCAGGTCTGCTCATGCCTCTCCTTCAGTATCACTAACGCCTCACTCCAAGCTCTAGACTCTGACTCCCTCTGCCTGTTCTCTGCCTGGTGGAGCCAGACAGATTGCTCTAAATGTTAATCAGATCATGCCTCTTGCCTCAAAAGCTTCCGTGGCCTCTTATTGCTCTTGGGTGAAGATCAAAGCCCTTAGCATGATATGAAGCCCTAACGGTCTTTCTTCTGGCTTTTTCAAGCACACCGTGTATCATGCTCTCTGCTCAGTCAAGTTAGCGTCATCTCCTTTCCTGAATGCACGTACTCTATTCAGTCTCAGGGGCTTGTACATGCTGTTTCTTCTGTCTATGGTACCCCCTTCTCCTCCCTCTCTACCTCTAGTTATATGCCTCTCATTATTATGACGTTCGAACATCAAGTTTTGGAGCAGTCCTCTCTCACACCAGACTCAAAGACATTACCCTATTCTGTATTCTTATAATTTCCCATATAATTCTGGAATCACTGATGTGATTCTAAAAGGAAAATCTCTCTCTCCACCGATGTTATTTTGTTTGTGGTTTTTTGTGGGGGGTGGGGGTGGCACTGGAAATTGAACTCAGGACCTTGAGCTTGCCAGGCAGGCACTTGTACCACTGAGCTATATCCCAAGCCCTCCTTCAATGTTGTAGTCTTGTATTCTCAATATTTGTTGGGATCTGTGGATGTAAATACAAATAAACACAGAGCCTTTGTTTTGAAAAATCCATTTTTGAGAGAGATCAAGAAGTTAGAATATTTTTATGAAATAGGGCAGTAAATACAGAAGATGCCAAACATTATTTACTGAAAAGTGTGGGTTACCAAGGTCCGTTGAAAGGAAAGGTATATGCCTATACTTCTTTATCAATTTTTCACTCGCATATGCTGTACTATGAGCAACTACCTTGAAGATAACAATGTACAATGTACTGAACATTGTTGCTCTCCTACAGTCTTTTTTTTGAAACTTTATAGCATTGTTTTTATTGTTTGTTTTTCTTTTCTTTAAAATAAAAAAATTTTTTTTTAAAAAAAGGGAATGGATAAATGAACTGTGACACTCTTCTAACAGACGTCATGCTTCACCAGTGATGACTGAGAAATCTCTGTTACCACTGACGGGGAGTGGCGTTCAGGATATTCTGTTAAGTAAAAACCCAAGGTAAAGAAATACAGTGTAAGTTGACTCTCAGTAGCTACATGGTCTGTATTTGTAGATTCAACTAACCATTGAGTAAAGATATTTGGAAAAAATTCCATCTGTATTGAACATGCATGACTCCTGGTCATTATTCCTTAAACAATATAGTACAATAACTACTTCCATAGTAGATGCATTGAACTGAGCATTCTAAGTAATCTAGAAATTATTTAAAGTATATAGGGAGGGCTGGGGATTTAGCTCAGCAGCACAGCACCTGCCTGGCAAGTGCAAGGTCGTGAGTTCAATTCCCGGTACTGGAAAACAAACAAACAAACAATAAATAAAGTATATAGGGAGTCTGTGCACATGTTATATGTAAATATTGTGCCAATTTATATCAAGGACTTGAACATCCACAGATTTTGTTACCTGTAGAGATCTGGAAGCCAATTCCTTATGGAAACCAAGGGGATATATATATATATATATATATATATATATATATATATATATATATACCTTCATGCATACACAGTTATGGCTTGAGTCTATACATCCCCCCAAAGCTCCACGCAGTCATCATGAATGGGGCTCTTTCAGAGGTGGCTGGAGCTACAGTGTGTTACACTGGGATTGATTCATAGTGCAGTATAAGGGCACTAGGATTAAGTGTGTGAGTGCTATTCACCCTAAGAGGCTTGGATAAGATATAAGAGATAGAAAGAGCTGTAGTTGTCTCTTGCTTATTTGCTTTGCTACTTGCTCTCCACCATGAATTTTCTTTGTGATACCTGTCTGCGCTGGAGCCAGTTGATTATGGACTGAAACCTCTACAATCTGTGAGCTAAATAAACTTTTCCTTTTAACTTTGGGGGTAGGTTTATTTTGTTCCAGCAAGGAGAGAAGTAACACACACATACACATAGATAAACACACCTATACATATGTACAGTACACATACTTTCATTTTAAGAAAGGGAATAAAATAATAATATGTTTATTCTTCTTTGCTTATATCTATATAAATAAACTCTGGAAGAAAAAAGGAAACAATAAAAACAGTTATCTTAAGGGGATAAAAAGACAGGAGCGAACCGGGAATGATGGTACACTCCTGTAATCCCAGTACTCTGGAGGCTGAGGCAGGAGGATTGCTGAGTTTGAGGCCGGCCTAGGCTATGTAGTAAGACCCTGTATCAGATAATGAAAACCAAAAAAAAAGAAGAAGGAGGAGGAGGAGAAACAGGAGTGGGAGAAAGATTCTGAAAGATTCCTCAGTGTATATCATCTTTACTGTTTGGGCCTCTGGACCATGTATCTCTATTACTTATTCGAAACAAGATAAAAAGGCTGGGGAAGACAGGGTCAGAGAAGGCAACTGTAAAGAGAAAACATGAGGAGAAGTTGCCTATAAAAGGCAGCGAAATAACTGTGATCCTTCCTCTGGCGATCACAGTATAGCTTATGCCTTTCACAAACCATAAGGGAGGCATGGCCATGATCCCGGTACTCTGGGAGGCTGAGGCAGGAGGATTACAAAGCTAACCCAACCTAGGAAATTTAGCAAGACCCTGTTTTGTTTTTTTGTTCTTTTAAAAAAGGTCTGGGGATGAAACTTAGCGTGACGGCTCTGGATTCAATCCCCAGTCCCCAAAACAAAACAAAAGTGGGGGCTGAATGGAGGCCCTTGGTCCCCTTGTATCAGCCCCAATACTACTAAGCTCTTCATTAGTACAACAGGAACCAAAGGGGTGATCGCGTAGAATCACAGAGAATTTGACCCCATACAGTAGCGCTC